TGCTATTGTCAAGGGGCATTCCACAGTCCCTCGTATTTTACAAAGTATAATTGAAGTATACCACAAGTTAAAAAGAGACAGAGGTCATTTTTAGAATCAACCAAGTCTGTTCCCTGCTCATGACACCTACTGCAGTTCCTATATGTATAAAACTTAGCTTCTATGGAGGAGACCTGGTTTACTCCCCTGAAGGGATTAATTTCCTCATAGATAAAAATGGACTATGCAAAGCTACTCATCAAATACTTATGACGTCTAACGTTGAGACATATATAGGGCTGAAATGTGCCTACCTACTGGGAAAGAAAGCTCAAAAAGGTAAAAATGATAGGATTTTAAGATGGGTCTCTAGGTAAAATAACACAAAAAGCAAGTGAGTTCATACCAACTGAGTATTATTTCTTACTAAGAGAGCACCCTCAATAGTCACTGAAGTAAGATTTAGTGAAATCTGTCTTTATGTGGACCAACAGCTTGATTCTTTCATTGTTTGTTGATTACAGTAACATTTATAGTCCTAGAATATCCAGTGACAGTTAATTCTAGTGATTCATGCTTTATTTTGTTCGACCTTTAAAGGATTTTTTAAAGTGCCAGTCATCCACTAAATCTATAAACCTGACACACCAATTGGTTCAATTCTTTGGTTGCTGTTAAGTGTTTATTGAATAAACCACAATATATCAAACACGATATAGATAAAGTCCACTGTAAGTGTCCACTCTAAGAACTTTATCTATTTAGAAGCTAAATTGGCTTAAGCATTTGTTATATAAAAAAAAAGGTCCTAAACAAGCATATGTTGATCAAATTTTAGTTAGTTTATGGGTGATGGACTTGAATGGAATACCATGAGAAAAAATAATGGCTGAAAGGAGTTGTGGGAAGTGAGAGTCTTCATTTGCCTCCGCTGTTCTGAGATTTCACCTGAAAGATGTGGCCTGATGAAAAGCCCTGAATTGTCAGAATATTAGTGGGGATTTTGCAGACCAGAAATAAAGCAATTTGGATCAAGAGAAAGAAATCCAAAACAAATGGTCTAGAACCTAGATGTGAAGCAGATTTCTCAATGAAAATAGAAAATTTATTTTAAAAACTAGGCAAGACTGGAAATTATCTGGTGACTTTGATCAATATTAATTATGTGATCAAATCTGAAATTGAGCAAAGGCAGCTTTTCTCCACTCTCTTCATTGTTTACATGTTATGTAATTGAATTAAGCATATATTTGCACTCATGCTTCTGAGAGTATGGCTATGATGAGTTCAACCAAGTCACAGCCTCCAAATCACAAAAACAGTGTGAGGTCAAGTATTTCTGCTTTGAGGACCTGGAAACCACTTTATGAAGTTTAGTGGGAAATAAACAGGAGGTTCTGTATGGGTGATTTTTTGACATGGAACTTTCTATGGATATCAGACTCAAGGGTTGTATTATTGTTTCCTGACACTTATCCGTATATAAATTTCCTCAAACATTTATTTTCTGAAACAACAAAAATAACAAAATTAAGAGTTCTGGCTCAGAGAAAGTTGCTGTTTTTATTGTATCAAAAATTATTTTAGAAATAATGATATTACTGTGCGATTACTATATTTACATTGACATGTCATATACAAAATTCTATTCCTAAAGCCCTTGTCTATTTATAAAACACTTGTGCATTTATTATCTCATTAGATTCACTTATCCTTTGAAGTAACTCTTACTGTCTGTATTCAACCAATGTAAAAAATAAAGCACAGGAGATTATATGTCCCGCCCAATCTTATACAGCCTACAGCAGCACAACTTAAATCCCAGGGTCCTTACTCCTAGAGTTTTTTTTTTTTTTTAATTGCATTAGAGTATCTACTAGAATCTAGTGAACAGTCATGCTGCAGAATATTATTTCTGGAACACTGGAGATCAACTCATAAAATGCTAAAGCGGCAATCTTAGAAATAGGTATGAACAATGATGGCTCTATCAGGTTTTTAATGAATAGAACCTGTCATAGGATACAGATTCAGCTCAATTTTTGAAGTCAGATTGTCCTCTTCCTTCACGGATGAGGTATTGGAAATAAAATGGATGAAGTGACCAGAACTTTGCGTGAATGACTGAAACCTGGCTGTTGTCTTTGTGCACATACCAAACTCACCTCACGTGCTGAGAATTCTTCTCAGTAGAGATGGTAGGAAATTAAAAGAAACATAACCTACAGGGTAAAAATGAACTTTTCCTTTGTAATGACAGTAGTTTACCAGGTTGAAAGCTAGAGTGACTCAGATTTATCTTTAAAGGGCTGTGGCAATGGCTTGACTGGTAAAGCAAATGCTCCTCGAGTCAGCACCATTCCACTGAGACCCTCTATTCTTTTCAGCTACAAATCATAAACTATGATAGCTTTGGAGAATGGGGTGTAAGGAGAGGAGGCAAAAGGAATTTGTTTACACAAACTTACTTCCAGGTGTCCTAAATTATAAATAAATAATCATCATCATCTAAGCTGTCCCATAAAAGAATTCGTAAACAAACACATTTGCATGATAGCACTTTAAATGAAAGAATTACAGGGGAAAAGACAGACACTAAATCTTTAGTGATGAATAGTGAGTGGCTTTACAGCCACTGCTTCCAACTTATTCGATGCTCCCTACCAAACAGCAGCCTCACACAAGATGAACCAGTAAATCGCTAATTTTGTTCAACCTCAGAATCCTGTGAACATTTTAGAAGATATATTCAATCTTCATTTGTAGTTTGAATTTGGCTACTCTTTACAATTGACTTGTAATTTATTTATAAAATGTATTTGTAACAACACTCGTGGTGCTTTTGCAGTCATTCAGATTTGTGCAGAGTGGTAAGAAACTGGACTCCCCATTTCTGCCCCCATTTGAAGCACTCTGTCTTGTTGCTTCAGTTCTCATACCGTGTACCACCATCCTCTCCACTGTTTATTTTGTGCCACTTTTGTGTGTGTGTATTTTTCTTTGTGGTGGGCATCTTCCTGTTTAAAATGGCCCTCAAGGACAGTGCTGAAGTATTGTTTATTGTTTTTAAGCACAAGAAGGTTGTGAAAATGTGCCTTAAGGAGAAAATTGGTGTGTTTGATAATCTTTGCTCAGGCGTAAGTTAATGAATCAACAATATATATTTTAAAAGGTTTCTTTAAACAGAAAGACACATAAAACAAGGTTATGTAATGACAGGGTGATGAAATATAACCTATTTCCCCTAGAAACAATGGTTCTGTATTTGCTAATTCAGTGTTGCCAGTGACTTTATAAAACACATACTCCCAGAAAATAAGATTTGACTATAGCTTTGTTTCTAGTATTTAGAATTATCAATTATTTAAAAGGCAAAACAATAATTTATATTACTATTTAGAACTATAGAAGTTGCAGCTACAAACTCCAAATTTTGAATGTAGTAAAATAAGTAATAATGTAGTAAGTTTTGAAAAAGTAGCATTTTAAATGTATGTAAACTTGAGTAGATATATGTATACATTTTCGGGCATATTTTGTTCTTTTCAATGAATATTTAACCATTTCAAAAGTATTTCAAGTGATTAAAACATTTCAAAATGTTGGAAAGGGCAATGCTATCAAATGAAATGAAGCCCCAGTAAATGTGTCTAAGCCACAACTTTGAAAGAACTCCATGTTTTAATAGAGTTGGTATGACTGAGATATAACTCCACAAGAGTATTTTTTGATATGCATTAATTTTATTACTGAATAATAGCAGTCATTTGTAAATTTTGACCACTAAATTATTGCCCATAGTAACATGTACATGTCACTGTTGGGATTAAAATCCAGAAGCCTTTAGATTATGTTATCTATTTTGCCTTGTGTCTTCATGCCAAGGTACATTCCTAACCTTAAGAAGTTTTTAACCACAACTTTTTTTTTCTATTGGTAAAACTAAATCAAAGACTATTGAAACGATCCTAAACGTATGATTGTTAAATGTTTCCAGTTTTAAATTTCACATACCTATATTTGAAACACTGATTTTTAAACAATAATTTCACTTTACATTTGCTTCTTAGAAATGCATCATATCATGTCTGTAAGAAGTATTTACTGAGATGCAAGTTGAATTTGTAACTTGTGTCTTATGATTCTATGCTAAAATTTCATCTGTTAGCAAATCTAGAATTGAGCAGTGAATGTTTAATTTGGGGACACATGTAAGTCTTGTTTATATTCTTTATATATGTATATGTATATATATTTTATTGCACTTTAGGTTCTGGGGTAAGAACCTAAGAAATCCTGCATGTGCAGAACATGCAGGATTGTTGCATAGGTACATACATGGCAATGTGGTTTGCTGCCTCAATCCCCATCACCTATATCTGGCATTTCTCCCCATGTTATCCCTCCCCAACTCCCTATCCCCTACGGTCCCTCCCCTATTCCCCCGGAACAGACCCCAGTGTGTGATGCTCCCCTCCCTGTGTCCATGTGTTTTCATTGTTCACCACCCACCTAAGAATGAGAGCATTGTTTTATGCTGAACAAAAAGGAAACCCCAAGACAAGAAAAATGCAGCTACCATAAAAAAATGGTCTTCAAAATCTTGCTATTATGTTATCCTTGAACTGATTTTTTTAACATAACTATGTTTGATAGCTATAATATTGAAGAAATTTGGGGGAAAAAGGCTTTCTTTTTGCAGGGGGTGTGTGAGGGCACAAATTTTCTTGCACCTGACAAATTATCTTATTTTAAATGGATTCAGCAGTCTGTGAGGGGGCAGGTGTTCATGACAACAAAACGACGAATTAGACTTAGTTTAAAAAGGAGCATATCAGAATAAATACGACACATAACTAGTAGCCTATAAAAGGGCTATAAGGAATAAAAACTTGACATAAAAGATAAAGCAGAGTGATGGTGTATATCAGACAAATAGGGAAGGACAACCAAGCAGCAAGATTTTGTGGAGTGAAAAAGTTATCTGCAAAAATGTCAGCATCTCATGAAATTCTTTACAGGATTCAGTTCCCCCCACTGTCCTCACCCAACCCAACAGAGAAGAGGGCTTGTGACTGTGTAAGGTAATTATGCTCATTCAGGCTTTAAGAATTTTGAGGTTTTTCAAGAGGTTGGTTAGGTCATGGAGTCACTTAGATTTCTAAGATACAATGTTTATTCCCACAACATATCTAATGTAAACATCAGATTGACCTGAATGGGCAAAGCTTTTCTTTGCTATACCTATGTTGATATAGTAATTATAGAAGTTTCTATCAGAAGGTTGAGGAGATAGAGGGATGTATATAACGGGCTGCAAGTTTGCTGGAACTAGAAAGAACTTTGCTTCGTGAGTACTTTTAATGGACTGGGGCTAGAGATGGCCCTGCTCAAAAACTAAGCATGGTGCAAAAGGTTAACCAAATGAATGTGCAATTAGAATGCTTGCAGAGACATTCTGCTATGTTGTTGTTCTGTAATAGTCATTGTATTGTAACTATTACTGATTTGTTCAGTATTGTTGTGAGCCTTTTATCCCTTCAAATATTCTGCCAAACATTTAAGTATTAAAAGTGTGACTCAAATACACAAAGGTATAAACAGCTTAGATTGGTTGCACATGAAGCCAATATTTTTTCTTTTATTTTTCTTTTAGTTTTTTTAAAAGGAGTCTCACTTTATCACCCAGGTTGGAGTGCAGTGATGGCATGATCTCCTCTCACTGCAACTTCCGCCTCCCAGGTGTCCAACTCCTGATCTTGTCATCCGCCTGTTTCGCCTCCTACACTGCTGGGATTACAAGCGTGAGCCACTGCGCCCAGCCGAAGGCAATATTTTCAAAGAATATTCCGCCATTTTAACTAAAGAGAGAACATGAAAGAAAGAATGGACTGTCTTCAACCTTTAGAAGAAAAGTACAAATGAAACACTTTCAATAACGGAATAATTTAGTTTTCTGAATTAAAATAAAATAGGCCACATCAATAACACAGGTAGAACTTTGTTCTAAACGCTCCTTTTGCAATTAACGATTAGCCTTCTAATGCCTCATATGTGAATTATATTAATGTTGTGGATTAAAAACAGTATGGGGCACATTTGGGAAACAGTTGATTTTTCTCCCCGGGACACCAGAGGATATTTTTTATTTTAGAAGTATGTAGCTTTGCCCAGTAGACAAATTCCTAGAGAGTTATTTGGGGAAAAAAAAGTTTTTGTAAATAAAGGCAGTTTTGTAAGCATTAGAATATTGTACTATATGCAAAATTACAGTAAATTCTAATTCCTTTTTGGTAGTGTTAAATTTTCAGATAATGCCTTATGTAAAGCAAAGTGGGTCTTGATGCAGAAGTTGAAAGGGTTAATTCTGTTTTCTCAAGTGCCTAATTTATTAGAGAGTTACCTTAGGCACTGGAAGCATCTGGCTCAACGTGTACATATTTTTCAAGTACAAATTAAGGACTGAGAATGAGGCCAAGAACACGCTGTTGTGTGCAGCAATGGGATGGACTCACCAACAGAGAAAGGCATAAATATTGCCTCAGATTTTAATAAGGATGAAACTTCATACACATTAACAGTTCTTTCTCAATGGCCTGAAAACCCTAAGTCATTATACTTGATCCCTGCTTAATGTTCTGCATGTGTGAACCAATTTGGCTTGATGGTGCACTAGGCAGGTAGGACATTAAAATAAGACTCCTCTTTTGTTTGTAAGATGTTTTTAAAGAAAGACTTGTCCTGCGATTTGTGCCAGGATATGTACCTGCATGCCCATTTTTGTCTATCCCATCTAATCTTAAATGGAGGACTAAATAGTAACTTTGCCTGCCATTAACAAATCATGTTGACTGCCCACCTCTCTTTTGCTCTATCTCTATTTTTTAAAATCAGGGTTAATTCTGGTTAACTGAGAAAAAATCCTAACAAATCTTTTGCAATTGCTTTGTTTCTTCGTGAATTCTCAAAAGTAGTCAAAAGTTAAAAGTTATTGGGGGTGTTGAGGGGGTATATAGTATTACATTGGAAGCTTTAGTGAGAGACAAAACAATTCCAGTTTCTGCTACTTCTTTTACTATTTCTCTGATGTCACATTATGTGTATACAGATGATGCATGTTTCCTTAAATCAGAGATAAATTGTTCAATGACTGGAAGACTCTATCTGTCAGAAGCAGAGTTCACAGGCACATATCGGTTGTCTTGGGAGTGTAGAGAGGCGCCTGTGCATCAATGACTGGATATAGAATACATTAAAGTGCATAAAACTTGGATGGAGAGGTTTCATGTGGACAATGGAAATGCCATTTTCATGTACTTGCCAACGTAGATATGCAAGGTGAAATAAAAGCCAAACCTCTTTTGGATAGTGTCCATATCTACCCTGATGCAAAGAGAATCTCACTTTGGATAATGGAACTCTAATATCTCATTTACTATATTTAAAGGAACAATACAGGCAGCTGAAGGAGCTTCCCAGGACAGACTAATTTTCAGGAGACAGAATGACAAGGAAGACTTAACCCTGCCTCTTGCTCTGTGCATTACAAAGGCATCTGGGCTCCAAGGTGATCAGCTTGACCTTTCTCTTAAGCACTGTCTAATTTTTTTTAAAAGCGGTTAAAAATGCCAACATGCAAATTGTACATAAAATATTTAAAACATGAGCCCTCCCTTTGAAAAGGTGAATTAATGAATTCATCAATCAAAACCCTGAAGTTCTGAAAACCTCTAATTTACTCTTGTTGTAATTTAGTGGGAGAAAAGTAGCCTTCTGCTGGATAGCTCCACAGAAATGTAATTAACCTTTGCTTTTGATGGAACAGGTGGGACAATTGTTAGAGTTGGATGATAAATACACACACACACACACACACACACACGCACACACACACACACAAGCACACAATCTTATAGGATTCTTACTCCCAACCTTTTTGTGAAGACCAAGATTTGAAAATACTGTAAACAATAAATTACTAATATAAGCTGTAGCAATAGTTGTTTATAGACAGATATGTAGAGCCAGGCAAACACACATCCAAATGTTAACAAAGTATATAATGATTTCTGTTACAGAAATTGAGGTATCTTCCCCTACTGAATTTTCCAGTGATTTTTTTCAATTAACATGTATTACTATGAAATAAAATAAAATAAAATACCAACATCCAGTATCTGCCGGCAGGTGCCCATAGCTGATGGCCACAAGCCATGTCAGCAGCAGCATATTTTCATGCAGAAGTTGTAGCACGAGCTAAAATGCTTTCATGGGGACAATGGGTCAGAATATTTGGCACTGAGGCTGCACAACAGAGATTTGATTCAGTTCAAGACATCCGAGAAGATAATTCTCTGCTCATAAGACTGAAGTGTGTAAATTAAAACAAGATGCTCCTAGCTCTCCTTCCTCTTATCTCCTGTCTTCTGCTGATTCAGGACGGAGTTGGTTTGTCTTCCTCACTGATTCTCACCAGAGCCCCAGTTCTTTCTTGCCTTTGTGTGATGAACTCAGAGTTCATTTATACTGGATTGTAGACTATGTTTAAGCTGCGGCAAAAGCTTAGGAGGAGGGCAAAGGCATTTTGTAACACATGGAACCTTTGATACAATACAGAGATGAAAGATTTACTCTTCCAATTTTTACAAGTTATTGCTTCTTTAATTAATTTTACTTCCATAGGTGAAAATGGATATACCATTTCTGGGAAGAGAAAAGAAGCCAATTAAAAGTGGAACATGTCATTACACTGACAAGCAATGAATGTACCTTATTTAGAAAAAAGAATCCATGAATTCCTGTGGCTCTGATTTATTCTTAGGTTTCTTGTCTCACTCGTTAAGGACCCTTTGGCCACTAGTGTTTGTGTATGTATATTTGTGTGCATGGTCATGTGTATACCATGATATAAATATAAAGGATTTAATATTCTTTTTTCACCACAAATGTAGTTTATATTTCAATATAAAACCTAATTTGACTAAGCAGCCAGGATTAATGCATTATCTAATTTATATAAATACTTTAGTAGAAATAGCTCAATTCAGGTTGTAGTTTTAACATGTTCTCCTGTCTTATAATATCTTTCTCCAAATGATTATGTATATGTTCATTGGAATAAATGGAAATGCTGCCAAAAATCATAGCTTTTAAATTCTCCTTTTCAAAAAACCAAAGTACCAAAATAAGCTGAAGAAATGTCTTCTTTTTAAAGTATTGGACTTTTCTAAAAGGACTCTATCTATCAATCAATCAATCTATCTATCTATCATCTATCTATCTATATCTCTGTCTATCTATCTAATATAGATACATATAGTACATATATCTGTATAAATACAAACATAGATAGAGTCAGGGCTGGTCGTGTGTGTGTGTGTGTGTGTGTGTGTGTGTGTGTGTGTATACATATATATAAACCTGTATGATAAATTAACCATTAGAGAGGTACTAGAACCATTGCAATTTCTCTCCCATCCCACAATACTTTTGTTTCTTTATTTTTTGTTTGTTTGTTTTGTGAACAGATTTTTAGTGGGAGATCCTGTTGTTTGTGCTTTGTAATGATGAAAACTTCTGTCTTTTTGTTTTTAATCAGTTCCCACACACTGACTGGGAGGCTCAAAGTGTAATATGGCTGTTTTTCTTAAACTAGTGAACAAATATGAGACTGTGTATATTAGCCTTCATGGTCCTGCTCACACACAGCAAAGTTGATCTTTAGTTTTATCATAGCTCATAATTGTTCAAACAAAAATGGTCAGAGTGCTGTGAGTGTTAGGTTTTGGCAACCAACACAGTTTCATATGGTAATGAGATTTCCCCCCTGTAGGAGGGCTATGAACTGCTAATTAGCATCTATGACCTAATATTCTCTAGCAACCAAGAGTAATAGCAGTAATTTCCAGTTTTATGCAGAGTACAAGTCTCTAATATTATCAGCACTTCTGTTTCATTTATAATTAACTGCACACAATTATTACAGTCAAGAAAGTATATCCTAATATTCCTAGGTAATAAAAAAAGAAATTATGTTTTTGAAACTTGTATATGTGTCATGCTGACTGACTGGCATTCTTTGGAAGCCCTGAGGTGTTTTTTTTTAATCTATCAATTAATTTTTCTTTTTGTCTATACTGATATCACCCTTAATTTTAATTTGTAACTTTTCGTTTGCTCCTTAATTCTTTGTTCTTTGCTTGGAAATTCATATTTATTAGATCTGATTTTGAGTTCACAAACAAAGAAAACATGTAAAAGTTAGTAACTAGGGGAAATGTTCTGATATTAGCTGACAATGTGTTTCAAGAGACTGGTAATGAATATTTCTTAGGTATGGATACACTTTGCACAGGAAGAGTGTTTTACGAGGTGGAAATAAAGGAATTTTATTTGAAGTTCTCCTATGAAAGTTATACTTCTGTGAATGTCAGTAGAATTGTTCTATAAAAATTTCCTACTAAAAAAAAGAGTTAAATCTTATTTATCTAAAATTGTGAAGGATTACAATTTTCTGTAGGAGATATTTTTCCCAGATAACATAATCCTTAATACATCAAACTGTATTTTAAATATTTTGATGTTTACTTTCTGAAAATAAAATTAATCTCATGCTTTGCTCTACATAATTTTCTAAGGCACACCTGAAATTCCGAACGACCCTTTCTGTGCGACAGGAATGTCATATTAGGTCTTTATCAAGTTTGGTGGGTACGTTTAGGGCCTTTATCTCTATTACCACACCAAGAACAACTCTACTTGTCTACTTTCTGTACTGTACCGTACTGGATTTCTGCCTCAGAGTCCACTCAGAAAACATAGTTTGTTGCTTAGTCTTAGCCTCTAAAAAGTTTCTGCTTTAGAAAACAAAGTATCTATATACTTTAATGCTTTTTCAAATAAGTAGGGTCATCATTATGTACATCAGTTATATTGTGCAGAAGTATAATAGTGTAAATAACATTTGGAAGTTTGCTTCTTTCCCCTACACTGAATGACCTCAGATGTCTGTGCTTTTGTGCTTAATATTTCTTGTTTCCTCCTTTATTCACTACTGTAAACTAATCCTACTGTAACTGCCTTAGGTTATGTCTGATTCTAATCTATTTTAAGGCCAAAGAAGAACGAAGGTGGCCAAGAGAAATTATATGAAAAAGTTCGGTAAATCCTAATGCAAAGATGTAAAAGCACATGGTGAAACTGTCAAATACTCAAACTGTAAAGCATTGCTTTTAAACAGAACTGGACCAACAGGTGGGGAATATAACAATGTAGACTTATGCTCAAAATAAAGAAATACTTATTCAAGTTTTAGGGGCAATAATGATGATGATGATGCTATTAACCATGAAAATTTGCCAGGCACGGTGCTAGCTCATTTTATGTAGCATTTAATTTAATGTAATATGTTATGCTAGTAGGTGGATATAATTATTAGTGTTATCAATAGTATTAGTACATCAGAAAATTCAGACTTTATGTAACCTTAAAAAAACCACACAGAAGGAATTTGTAATAACATCCACATCTGTTTGATTTCAAATCTGTGTGTATGAGTATCAAGTTCTTCTGTCTCCCACCAACAATAGAGCACAAGTAAAGGAAGCATTTTCCACAATCAAGACTAACCTCCTTATTTTATTGCTGAAGACACTAAGGATCATAGTGTTCTTGCTTCTAATCTTCTCTCCCATGGAAGGAAACTTTTTCTTAATTATATTGAACATGAAGACTTTACTCTCAATCTCTATTTCTCCTGCAATTGGTCTTCCCCACCCACCTCGTTACTTGAAACTGCACTTTCAGAATAGCAGAGTCCTGCTCATTGCCAAATGCAATAGAGTCTTAATTATGTCTGGTATGTTTGGAATAGTTCACATTGTCAATCACTCTCTTCTCTTTGTATTTCTTTCCCTACTTACTCTTGATGCTAGCCTATGCTGACTTTCCTCCTTCTCTATCTCAATCTCTGTATCAATTACCTTTACCTTTTACTACATGACAAGCTCTCCTAAAAGTTAATAGCTTAAAACAGCAACCATTTATTTAGTGTTCAATTCTACAAGTCAGTAATTTGGGTTGTGCTTAGCTCAGCAGTTCTGGTCCCAGCTGGGATCACTCTTGTCTCTGTGATTAGCTGCTGGCTTAACTGGGGGATGGTTGGCCTAGAATGGCCTCTACTGGGCTGGTTTGTTTCTGCTCCTAAAGGCCTCCTATCCTCCAGCTTGCACTTGCAAAGGCCAGCCTGGGCTTGTAAAATTGGCAACTGCTCAAATTCTAAACAAGAATGTGAAATCACATAAGTCAAATAATCACTTGTGTATTCTCTTAACAAAGCCAGTCGAAAGGGCAACCAAGATTCAAGATGAGGGAAAACAGACTCTACCTCTTGATGGGAAAAGCTTAAAAACCACACTGCATGAGGCAAGGCCATACGGAAGAGCGAAGAAGGAATTGTGGATATATTTTGCAATGTACGATCTCTTTTGTGAGTTCTACTCACACTTGTATTTTAAATGCAAGTTTAACTCTCATGTTCACTTTTGGACTCTTTTCTTCTTTTTAAATTTTTTCTCCTTCAAGCATCACATTTATTCCCATGACTTCAGGTATCATCACTCAACAGACCATTATCAACCTCTATATTCAAATCATACCTTATTCATAGGCTCCCAACTGGAATTCCCAAGTACTTAGTAAAAATGTACCTGGTTCCCTATGTGTGCCTCAAATACAAGTTCAAACTCAGCTCTATATTCTCCCACAAACTTGTTTCTAGTTTTAAAACATCCATTCACTGTCATTTGTGTTATTTGCCATCTAGCCTCATAGTCTAGAGACTGCACTTAATTTTTTAATTTTTATTTTTTGTGGGTAAATAGTAGGTTACATATTTATAGAGTACATGAGATGTCTTAATATAGGCATGCAATGTGTAATAATCACATCATGGAAAAAGGGGTATCCATCCCCTCAAGCATTTACACTTTATGCCTGTTAAGCATTTATACTTTATGTTATGAAGGATATAAACAATCCAATTATACACTTCCATTTATTTATAAATGTACACATAAGTTAGTATTGACTGTAGTCATCCTATAGTGATATCACATATTAGATCTTATTTATTTTTTCTATATTTTTTGTACCCACCTTATAACCATTTTTGATAGTTCTATCTCCTTCAGTCCTTATATTCAGTCACTTAGCAAATCCTTGTCATTCAACGTAAAAGTTGCTCATCTTCCTTTTTCTTTACTCCTAATATCACCCAAGTTGGGGCTATTGTTGCTTGTTAGATTATTTATGAATTTATTATTCTTTACTCCTTCATATGCACAATCTAATATGGCCTCCCCACTGAGAATAGTATTCCTAAAACACACATTGAACATACAGTTTCTTTTGAAAAAGTCTTTAATAGTTTATCATTATTTAGAATAAATGGGAAGTCTGCTGACCCTTGTTATTGGAGATTTGGGGAATTCCTGGAGGTCTGTATAGTCAAGAATTATTTCATGTATCTCTGTTGTATTCCCAGTGTCTTACATCCTGCCTGATAGTTGCTTAGTAAATATTTGCTGAATGAACAAATACATGAATGAACAATGGTAGATCTACTAGGGGGAGAAAGAGCAGGCAGAACATTCCTATGTGTTGTGTCAGAAAAGGTAAGAAGACTTAGGCCAGGTATGTTGGCTCACGCCTGTAATTTCAGCATTTTGGGAGGCCAAGCTAGGTGGATTGCCTGAGGTCAGGCCTTTGAGACAAGCCTGGCCAACATGGTGAAAACCCATCTGCACTAAAA